TGTTTTTTTTTTTTTTTTTTTTTTCAGAAAAAAATCTGGGTCTTGACATGAGACCTAGAACTGCATGGTCAATTCCTATAAAATCTCATTCTTGGAGAAAAGCACATTTTAATCTGAAGTATGGGTTGGCTATTCCAGTTCCCTTTTGGGAAGAGACATCAATTAAATCTGTGATCAAACTTTTGTAATCAGAAAATAGTATAAGATTAATTATGGAAATGCTATTCAATTTCCAGTCTATTAACAACTGACAACTGCACGACTATCACATTAAAATTTACACATCGCTGCTAGCTTTATTCTAGCACACTTATGGTCAAATTTAGAACTGGTATAAGATCCATGGAGTTTGCTTGGCTTATGCGAATTCTGAATTTGGCCCACAGGCTTTCAAAAAGGAAAGCATATTGGCTGACCTTTGAATTGGTTTACCTTAAGGTGAAAATTCTGCTTGGGTTTAAGTTCAAGAGGCTGTGCAAATGTAGCGGAGGACAGGATTCCAAGTATAAGTGCATATCTTCTCGGCCTGAAGAACCCAGTTGCAGGACCTTCACAAATCTCAGAATTACTTTTGTCCATGTGAAGGTAACTGGTTCCTGAGATTGCTCGTTTCTTTCTTTCTCAAACTCTGGATTCTTTTAGTGTTAAAATGATATGCTTTTCATCTGTTTACTGCATTGCAGATTTTAGACAAAATTGAAGATGTACAGGAACTCATATTTACTAAAGAACCTGCCTTGTTGAGAGCTTTAATTCCTGTTCAGACTATGCATCTTACCATCATTGTTGCTCATCTGAGAACAGAGGAAGAAGTAAAAAAGTAAGAATTAAAATAAATGCAAAGAGAAGTTTCTTTAAAATGACTCCATGGCCTTTCCATTCAAAAGAGCCAAAGGGGAAAAATTTTCTAGGCACTAGTGAATATAATTATTCATAACTACAGTGCTAAGCTAGCTGGTTTGCTAAGCACTGCTGTTATGAAATCTAGGTACAACATAACATTGGAGCTTTAATTTTTTTAAATGAGAAGATCCTGCCAGTGCATGGGGAAAAAAAGCAGCGCCGTGCATATAAATACTTTTGTGATAATTAAATGAAGAATGCTGACTCTTCTGAGCTTCGCTGTACAAATGCATTTGGAGTGACTATAGATTCTTGGTGCTAAGCTATGACTGGATTAAATGGAAAGTCTTAGCTCCTGAAATGCCTTTAGTTTTCCATAAAACCTAAAGAGAAGAAGAAACTGAATTGCAAGGGAGCCCTGTTTTGAATGGCTATTAGTCTTTATAAGAAGGACTTCAGTGTAGCCAGCTGAAATGATTCTGAATGTATTTAAAAGTAATTTTCCATTTTAATTTGGGAAACTCAACTGATTGAAAGAAAATTCTTCTTTATTCATGTAGACAGACTATGAATCCTCTTAGGACCCATGAGACAGTAAATTGTCTGAAACAAGGTTTGTTTGTGGGGGGGGGTTTGTTTGTTTGTTTTGTATGGCCCTTTTTTTTGAGTATTTTGGTAAGCTTGCAAGGGATGTGAGGGGAAAGCCTTTAATAGTGTGATTTCTACTATAGCTGTTAATTAGGGGGGCTGTCCTCCTAGAGGCTGAGGACATGATATGACTGTGAATCAGGTGGCTGAAGAGGTGACTGAAACTCACGTGTCAATGAAACTAAAAATGTGTGGGGGTACACACAGGAATGGCTATATCTAATGAAAGGAAGTCTTCCCACCGAACTCTCTCCATGTTTTACCCTCTTATTAGTAAAGCTGTACTGAACAGGCTCTTCCTTGAGCTGGTGTTTTCTGTTAAGCACATGAAAGGACCCATTGCATTTTGTGAGTGAGTATTTTAGGGTGTGTAGATGAAAAGTGGGGGGGGAGGCGGTCTAGATTGAAGTGGTGGGTTTTTAAAAGCACCACTTCAATTTAGGGCCAAGTAACACCCCATGTCAGCAGGGTGTGCGCGTGACTTACCTGCCTCTGGTGGTGGGGTGGGGGAAGGGAGAGCTGCCAGCTAGTGGAGTGGTCTCTGGGCTGCGGGGAGGGGGCTGGTGCTTCTCTCCATAGCAGTGGCGGCTCCTGCCTGCAGGCACATGGCTTGGGGGGGCACCACAGCTGCAGAGGGAAGCACCAGGCTCCTGTGCAGCTCAGGCAGGCTCCAGGAAAAAAAAAACAGATTGTGGCTTTTTTTTTTTCTTGGGTGGAGCCTGCCTTCCTGGGCTGCTGCCAGGCTGCCTGCATGGCCTTCCTGCAGAGTCCCAGAGCTGCATGGAGCCCAGTGCTTCACTCTGCAGCTGTAAGGTAGTGAACTAAAGCTCCTTGAGGAGTTTTTTGGTTTGCTGTGTCCCAAGTCATTTAAGGTCCATTACACTGCCGCATTTGCTACAGCAGCTGGAATTGCTGCACAATACGCTGCCAACATGTGCAAACGCCAACATCATTAAAGAGGTGCAAAAGCATTTAATCTGCTTTAAAGTGTTGTGCACAAGTGCCCCTCATTTTGTCTACACACAGCCTTACATCTCAATCTTAAATTATTGAAGCAGAAGCTGAGCCTGTGGAAAATGAAATATTTCACTGTAGAGCAAAAATTCCTCCAGCAAACTTCATTACATTGTTATTCTGAATGGTGATTATCCCTTAATCTGAATGATGTCACATCAGTAGCTATGGTGAGAGAGAGATTTTGTGTAGCAGCCCCTCCAAAAGTTCTTGTCTTCTAGCAAGTCCTAGATCAGCAGCTTTTATGTTAAAACAGAAACAATAGTGTCCTTTGGTAGGGAAGACTCTCTAATATAGATAGTCCATGGTGTCAGTAAAATATTAAGTGCCTTCTGCATGCACAGAACAATGTCAGGGCATTAATATTCACATTTGCTATATCTGAAGACTAACCATAGATCATACAATGCAATAGTCTACTACATTTTTGGACAAAATTTGGACAATTTGATTCTATAAATCAAATGCACTAAAAATTTATGTAATTGACAAGTAGGTGTCCCTTAACCCCATTTTCTACCTCTGACAGCTGCCATCTTGGATGACATACCAGTGACCTCCAGCATGAGTTTATACAGCTTGAGTTTGTTTTTTTTTAAAGAGGCAGGATGTGAATTTGGAGGACAAACTGTAACTGACAGTTCGGTTGCATTTTAAATTGCAAACCCCCTGAATAATGACAAACCTCTTGTTTAAACATCTCAGTGCCTGATTTAGCAAGGTAATTAAAGCATGTTAGCAATGTAATATGTAAGGTACCTAGCTTTTAGCAAGTTGTTTTAAATATCAGCTCATGCACTTGCCCAATTATTGTAGCCTTTCCAAAAATATTGTTTCAAATTTGTAATGGCTTCTGTCCATCATCCACAGGCTAAACAATCTTCCACTGGGATCATGGATTGTTTTAGTTTTAACACTACAGAAAAACAGGTTAAGTTGTAACAGTAACATTTAATGATAGCACAAAAAATTGAAGTTCATTCTTTTGTGTGATTTCAGTCTGAAAGAACAATGTAGTATACTTTTGATGTACTGACACTACTGGGGAAATGCTGTAGATGTATCAAACTCCAAGTGCTTGAAAAGGCTATTTAAGGGTGTAATGCATCTCAGTTTACTCAAACCACTTTCATATCTTCTATCTGTAATCCAAGTGATTGTATTGAACCTTACAGCAAAAATGCATTTTGCTCTCATACCTTCTGTAACAGTGAAGAATGGCCTCCTTGCCAAAAATCAGAAGCATCATAGCAATCTCTTATAGCTCTAGTGTTATACTCTGGGTGATTATTAACCTGTCAAGTGAATCTCCTTTTTAAGGTGTTGATTTTATTTATTTTTAAGGGCTGTCTTGGCACTGAAACAGAGCAAAGCTAAAATAGAAGCCATCTTACAGGGTAAACTCCTTAACATGACCTTTCATGGAATTGGGCAATTCAACAACCAAGTGGTATATGTAAAAATGTCAGAGGATGAACAACAAATGTTAAGTAAAATTGCAGGTAAGCATTTATTTAAACTGACCTGCCACTTGTATAATTCTCCCCCCCCCCCCCCCCCCC